TCCTTCCTTCCTTCCTTCCTTCCTTCCTTCCTTCCTTCCTTCCTTCCTTCCTTCCTTCCTACCTACCTACATTCATAACCTTAATTCTCTGTACCCAGGCAGGGTTAGACCCAACATCACCATCCTATACATTTGGAGGTTTCCCCTATTTTAGAAGCTCTCCAGAGAACATTTACAACCTATCACTTATTTCTTTCCGTAACAACATCAGTAGCCTTCTTTATAACTTACCTGTGTTCCTAAGGCATAATTTAATCCCATTTCTTTCATTTGTGCTTAAAGTGGAGAGTAACTAATTTATATCCTCTACATAGTAATTCTTCTGGTCATCAGTTCTGTTCAATGTTTGTTTGATGTTACCATTTTTCACCTCTGCCCCTACTCCAGAGTCCCTTCATGGATGACAGTGTTACTGCTTGTTGTCACCAATAAATTATCAGACTCAGAATGGGCAGGACTATAGTTACGTACTATAGATATTATAGCACATTGCTCTTGAGAGCTGGGCTTTGTTCAAACTCAGGAAAGTACATGGTTCTCTCTAAACCTGTCCCCATTTGAAAACCCTTGGACTGCTGAAAGCCATTTCTTATGGCAGTTCAGCTTTCTGGTCTACATTAACCATTCACATGTGGCAAGACAGTTTCTGTTGGTCAAAACTATTCCTGTGTCAAATTTGGTAAAAATAGATGCTAGGTCTAAACCTTAAGATGAGGACACCAATCCTAATTATGCATGAAAATGTAGGGATAAAACTTTGCTTTCATTTGTGATGTTTTCTCTATCAATGCTAAAGAAATCAGTGTAGATACGGTCTTAAAAACACTTCCAGAAGGTGGCTGTTTAAATTTTCCCTATTTTTCTTATCTACCACTCTGACTTTTTTTTTTTAATTTCTTTGAGAAAAGTTTGTGCTATTTCTGCCTTTTCTCTCTTCTTCTCTTTTGTGCGTACCATTCCTAGAGCCCGTGTAGCTTGCATACTTGAATTCCTCACTAGAGGGCGGAAGTGCTTAAGAGAAATGATGTTGGTGAGAAAGGTACCTTACGGAACTTAGTTGAAGTCAAACTGCTTTTATTTCAAAGCAATTGCTGAAGAGCATTACTGGCAAGAGATATCAGACTGTTTTCTAGCTTATAAATTGTTCCATAGAACTTTAGAGATCACTCAGTCCGACCCTTCTTTGTAATTGGGGAAACCAAGCTCAGAAGCTGAAGTAACTTCCCCGAGACATGCCACTCGCTTGTAGCAGAGCCAAGAGTAGAAGGCAACAGTGTAAGGGAAGGGGATGGAGCAGTGGACTTGGAGTCCTGAAGGCAGGGTTTGAATCTTACACCGGATGCCTATGACTCTGGGCCTTAACTACTTTATGTGCAACATGGGAAAAATAATAGCACCTACCTCATAGGCTTGTAAGGACTAGATGAGATGATGTGTCTGTTAAGTGTTCTGCAAAGTGCTCTAAAATGTGAGCTGTTATTATTGTTACTGTTAGAACTCAGGTCTCGAGATTTCCAGTCCAGTGGTCTTTCTACTCTGCTACGCTTCCCTTTTTATTTAGATTTAAGGACACAGATCCCAAGTTAGAATTCACATTTTATCCTAGTCCCTAATATTATTAGGCTTTTTTTTTATCATCAGAAGAAAAAGAAAAAGAATAGCTAGTATTTATGTAGAACTTACTCTGTGCCAGGCACTTTGATAAGCACTTTACCAGTATTATGTCATTTGCTCCTGATAACAACCCTGGGAGATACATTGTATAGTAAAGGAAACTGAGGCAGACAAAGCAGCTTGCCCAGGATTATACAGCTGGTCACTGTCTGAGGCTGAACTTGAACTCAATTTCCCTACTCTAGGCCCAGTACTTTATCCACTGTGCTACCTAGCTGCCTTTAAAATTGCTCAGCAATTGGATATCAGTATTTTCTCCCTAAGAATACCGTTCTTGAAAGTCAAATTACCAGGTATGTTTGGTAAATGGGAAAGCCTCCCTCGATTGAGATCTATTGGGCATCAGCATTTTCTTGCTCTTTTTGAGGGAGGTTGGGAATTATGTGTGTCAAAAACTCAGCATCTTCATGCATTAGTCAAGAAAATGCTTATTTCCTATTTTTGGAATTCCTGTTGCTTTTAGGCAAATAACAGTAGTCCTGGGCCTGGGCAAACTCTAAAAATCAATTTCCTGCCCAGAACAGATTAGCTACAAAGGCTCAGAACAGGACCTCAAAGGGAACTAATGTATCCCCTTGGCTTATCTCTGGGCTGCCAACATTCTCCAAATTAACATTATGTAGAACAAAGATGTTGGCAAAGAATTTGTCTTTTCATTGATATCCAGGTCACCTGCCCTTCTTGAATCCAGATGGATCCTGAGCTTCAGTCACAAGTTGATATGGGAAAGCCCCTTCAGGAAAAACACATTTCAAAAAAGATGAGTACTAAAAAATGTTTAAAATTCAAACTGGATGAAAGAAAAGAGCAAAAATAAAACTTTGTTCTAAGAAGTAGTTTTGAGGGAGAGAGTAATATAATTGGAGCTAACTGTCACTGAAATATTTTTGTAAAGACTTAAAACCACCAGCAGGGATATTCCTTTTTTTTTTTTAAGCTATCCTTATTACTTTTAGCATGTTAAAAACAATGACACAAAGAAGTATACAGTTAAAAACTGTTATAGGTGACATAAGAAAATAGTGTGTATATATTTCATATATATATATATAAAATCTACAATATTTACCATTGTTGATGTGTGTGTGTGTGTGTGTGTGTGTGTTTGTGTATGTGTGTGTATACACACACATGCACACATATATTTGGGGGAGGCAGCATCGGTGCTACTAGCATAAAGTAAACTGTACGGTGTAGTTTATTATAAATCACACAATCAAGGTATAAATTTTAAGGTTAACATCCTTGGCTACATTATATACATATATTCGAAGCAGCTATCAACATTCTAAATCAATAGCCCAGTGATACTAATAATCAGAATTTCTTTGTGATTCAGTGTAGTGTTTAGCTATTAATATGCTCTATTCTATCATTTGAAATATTACCAAGTTCTTTCAGATTACACCAGATACATTTTATATATATAAACAAGATCTATCACATTCACTAGCTAACTGAATAAATGCTACTTCCATTTTCAAAGGCATTATATTTCTATACTTTAAAACTTTAAAGAATCAGCCTGCAGCAAGAATAAGCTGCAGTGCCTATCTTTGCAGCAGGAGTATCCTCCCCTCTCCGTGGTATAGGATATTGGACTAACTGACTTTTAATTCTCTTCCAGCTCCTAAGTCCATGAATCAGATACTGACTGGGACTGGTATCTTTGACTCAGCAGACCTACTCCCTACTAATTTTTCAGTACTCTTATTTTACTTCCTAGTCAGAGTAGTTTAATAAAACTGAGTAAGTCGTAGGAATGGAAGAGGAATATACTCATGAAATTTCCTTTTTGCTTCCCCTCTGCCACCCCCCTTCAGTCCTTGAACTCGGCTCTAGATGAGACTTTTCCCTCTCTGTTTTTAATCATCACCTCCCTCACAAATACTCCCCTCTTCCCATCTTCCTAAATCAGCTAAACAACTCTTTCTAACTTGTGACCTTGACATATTGTGGAAATGGTACACAGGATTTGTTAATCCTGTCTACAAAAGAGACACGAGGGTGTCAGGGAAGCTCAGTGTCCTTGAGCATTGTTCAGCACCTTGTGAAATATTCATCCCCTGCTGCCTTCTGCTCCACAGACCATGTCCAGACCGCCTTTGAAGTCCAAGGGTGTAATGAGACTGTACTCTGCTACATCAGAGGGATTCTGTTGATTAAACTGTAGCCGCAAATGTTTTTTAAGTGGTTTCTCTTCTTTGTTCCTCTTGCTTTGCCTAATTTATCTTTGGTTCTATTTCAGCTTGGAACAAGGAGTACTGCCATTTTAGTCCAAAAGGTACTTCCTTTGAAAGCCCTTATTTCTAGTCACTGCTCCCAAGTCGGATCTACCTCCTAGATACCTAGAATGGGAGGCTCTCCTATGTACGTGATAGTGACATTTCCCCTCGACCAACTAAACTGCCTTTTCTGCCATCATCTGAGACTTCCTACTTTTCATGGATTTTATGTATAGATTTCACTTCAGCTAAGAACTAATTACTTTTTTTTGTTACAAGGGATTATTCACAAGGAGAGAAAACGACTATATCCATATAAAATAGATGAATATATAAGGACACATAATTGGAGGTGCATAAAAAGAATATGTTAACTGTATTAATATATACCAAACTTACTAATCTCTACCTGTGCCGTTTTGCTATTTCTATCAGTTGAATGGCTGGTGATCATTTTTGTTTTCCTATGACAAGTCACCCAGTCATGACTTCTTTGCAATACCATCTTTCCCATATCCTAGACATCATTTTTAACAGTTATGTATTTTTTCAATGATCAAGCATTTTTTTCTTCCACCTATGTTCATCACCCAGAAAAAAAGAAATGTGAAACCCTTGTAACAAATAAGTATAGTCAAACAGAATTAATTCCCACATTGACCACCTCCAAAAATGTGTGTTTCATTCTGCATATTAGTCCATCACCTCTCTGTCATTTTGTTGGCAATGCCTGTAATCTGTTAGTACCTGATTCTTCATCATGTCATGAGGATGAAAGTATTTAGGGTTCCATTGCCTTTTTTTTTTTACTTTGTACATGTTTTTTAATAATAACCTACATGTATATAGCACTTTTAGAATTTACAGAGCATTTTCTGTACAACAGTCCTATGAGGCAGGAAAAGCACATAACATCGCTCCCATTTGACAGATTGGAAAACTGAGGAAGCAGCTTCTTACACTAGAAAGAGTATTGGTTCTAGAGTCAGAAGATCTGGGTTTCAATCCTGTTTCTGATGCCTCCTGTCTGCATGCCTAAGATGAAGAGGTGGGACGAGACAGCTTCTGGCACCCCTTCTAGCTACAGATCTATAAGCCTGCGGTCTTAAGTTTAGTAGAGAGATTAAGTGGCTTTGCCCGTTGGGCACAGATAGCAGAGCTGTTGATCAGACCAAGGCCTTATGACTCTTCTTCAGTCTAGTGCCCTTTCACCTGGTATACATAGTCTTATTTCTAAAATGACGCACATGAGGAGTCAGAGCAGCAGTGTCTCATTTCTACATGCCTTTATTTGATGGCTGCATTAAGAGTCTTGATTGTTTTTCATTGAAGTCTTAAATTACGTGCTGAGATAGTCCAGAGAAGTAATGAGGTCTGAAGGATTCTGCTTTTTCCCAAATTCCCCCAAATTCCTTTTGAGCATATGACCAAATAAAAGGTCTGCCCTGCTAGCTAAATTTTGGGGCTTTTCTCTCCACATTTTCCCCTCTAGTCCTAATCCTTCATTTTACAGATGGGAAAACTTAGATGCATGCAGGTTACATGTCTTGCCCAAAGCCCTACATTCAGTAGTGGAGCTGGGATTCGAATCCAGGTTGTATGACTCCAGTGCTGCACTGCACAGTGGCCTGAGAGCCTCAGCTTTTCAGGTCCCTTCCATCCTAAAGCATTTCCCTAAGTAAGTTTTTGTCTCAATCTCCTCCAAGCCCTGGAACTTTCTCTGCCAGTCTTCTGAGTCTGGATTCTTTTCCTTTTCCTCGGCAGCAACATTTTCTACAAGTGCCTCTTTCCCCCTAAAGCACACCTAGTTATTTCCTAGCAACTCTCTCACTTTGGAAAATATCTTTGCCTGCACTCTTTTTTTTTTTAGGTAAATTCTGGGTCTGTTTTGTGTTTGCCTCAGCCTGGTTGCCTAATATGGTAAGGTATGTCCAAGCCACAGCCTTCGTTGTTGAGATAGGGAAATAGCTTCACTAAGAGAAGAGACAAGGGCAAGTGAGGCTCGAGCTGAGACTCGTTGAGGGGACGTGGTTTGCTTAGGTTGTTTTTGGTAAAGTTTCATTCCTCCTGTAACTGTCATGATCTTTTTTGAAAGTGCAAACTTTTCTTGCTAGTAAATAGATGGGAAAGATCACAGAACAATGGCCTTGTTTCCTTTAGTTTTAAACAGATCAGTCAGTATGCTCCAGGGAGAGGAGCCCAGCCCCTGTTGGAAAAAGTTGGAGACATTCACTAAAATGAGCTGGCTTTTAATGATGTGTAGAGTAAGAATAGACTGAGTAAGCAATGGCTCTTATAAACAGTCCTTCTGGAAGCAGCTTCTCAGGGTCATCAGAGACTCCCCCTATGCCGGAGCCAGCCTGCTTGGGATTTGGGAAGGGACTGCAGTGAAGGGCCATGAGCAGTGGGGTCTGGGAAGGAGAGGAAGGCCGAGAAGTGCCCCAGACCAGCTTCGTAAGGGTGTGGGGGGGAAGAGAAGCTGCAATCCAGCCTGGGGTGGGGGTGGGGGGGGCAGCACGCAAGCGTCTGTGTTTCTTGACTCCACGTTGGCCCAGAAAGGTCATTCCTCTCTCCATAGACTCACTCTGCCTTGGACAGTAGGTTTCTTAAAATACCCCAGCATGTTCTGATTTTCTATATATGGGTCATACTTGTGCCTCATCCTAGCCATGAGCTCTGCGAACCATTGTAAGAACAAAGTTGTTTTTGACATATTCCTTTTAAAGTCTTGTCTGATTTGTGGTTGCTAAGAAAAACTATGTAACGAAAACTCTGGTTTACCTGATAGGAAGCCCTATCACTTGTTGACACACCTCATAGTTGTAGTTGATTGTTACATAAAACAGTTCCTCCAGTAAAAAAAAATCAAAATTAATAAACATTATATAAGCTGGACTCCAGAGCAGCTGTTTGGGGTCCTTTCATTATCTGGAGATAAAAAGATTGATCTCTTATAGATAGTATAGACCTCCTGTCTCTTGACTTTTCCCGTCTCAGACCTCCAGTTACTTGACCTCCTATGACAAATAATCTCTCCTAGGCCACCTTAAGACAGACAGGAATGAGTCCTTTTTGCTGTGCTTGAGAGGGTGTTCTTAAGGCAAGAAGTCATAACCATCTCCAGCTTTGAACATTTCTGTTCTATTATTAGCATAATGACAATTTAACAAATTTGTTTACAAAAGAGTGGAGTTATTTTATTCTAGTAGTCTGGCAGGGACCTTAATGAAACAGGCCTTTAGCAATAACTATTCCCCTTTCAATCTGAATTTAAGCGTTTGTTTGATTTTAGTAGCTGTAATTTTTTATGTTGTCAGCACCCCTGAAGAGACTTAACAATGACAGTGTGTGTTTGGCCAGTGTTGAGGTTCTGATAAGTGATTTCAGGCAGCAAATAGGGTGTGGAATATTCTGTGCCTTCTGAGGAAATAACTGTTTTAGCATGTCTGACAAACTTCCACCAGACAAGTCCAGTTTTGTCACCAATGACACAGCTGGGTTTGAGACATTAAAAAGGGTTGCTTTTTGGTAAGACTGAAATGGTGGAATATCTGTGGTAAAAATGAGTATGTGGTTACATATTAGTTATCTATGCAGCAATATTAATTAACTGTGTAGAACTTTGGGATTCACCAAAGTGAAAGAGTAAGATTTATAGCTATTTAGTGAAAATGGTATCATCAGTATATAAACTCTGTCTGTGTTTTTAATAGCCAAAGAGAATATTCATTTATGGCTCATAAATGTTTCCACAAATGTGCCCAACTTAAATGTGTTTTTAAAGAAGGAAATAATTCTAAAATATTTTGCATTGTCTTGCAGCCTGAACTTGTATCTCTCACCTTTAATATCTAGTCTCTTGCCAAGGCCTGTTGTTTTTACCTTCACAGATCTCTCCGTATGTCCCCTCTTCACCTCTGACAGTGCCACCACCCTGGTGCTAGCCCTCATCAATCCACCCCTGGGTTATTGCAGTGGTGTTCTGGTTGGTCTCACTGCCTCATGTCTCCCCACTTCAGTCCATCTTCCACTCAGCTGTCAAATTGATCTTCCTAAAGTTTGTGAGTGTCTCAGCATTGTACCATACAAGTATGCACATGGGTACGTGCGCGCACACGCACACACACACACACACACCCCCACCACCAGTGGCTGTCACATCCAGGATCAAATATACGTGTATATATATATATAATACATATATACATATATACATACATATCAAATATACATATATATATACATATATATATAAATAATCCTCTGTTTGGTTTTAAAAGTCCTTCATAACCTGGCCCCCTCCTGTCTTTCTAGTCTTCTTATACTTTACTCCCCTCCAAGTACTTGTGATCTAGTGACACTGACCTTGCTGCTCCTTATACAAGACCCTGACTGCATTTTCACTGGCTCTCCCCTGTGCCTGGCATGCTCTCCATCTGCGTCTCTGCCTCTGGGCTTCCCTGGTTTTTCTTTTAGGTCTCAGCTAAAATTCCACTTTCTACAGGAAGCCTTTCTTAAATCCCCTTAATGCTAGTGCCTTCCCTTCGAGACCCTCTAGCTTATCCTGTATGTCTTTTTTTTGTACATAATTGTTTATATATTGTCTCCCCCATTATACTGTGAGCCCCCCAAGCCCCTTGCCTTTCTCTGTATCCTCAATGCTTAACACAGGGCATGGCACATAATTGGTGCTTAATAAATGCTTCTTGACTTGATTATGCTAGTGTGTCTGCTTGAAGGTTCATTCTGTTGACTGAAGGAAAAGATAATAAAGACTTTTTTATTACTAAAACTTAAATACACAATAAGAAAAGAAAAAGAAACATAAACTTAAATATTGAAACTTAAATACAAAATAAGAAAAGAGAAAGAAAAAAGCATGTCATGTGCACAGCAGAGCATAAGAGAGAAAAACATTTGTAACTTGACAACTTAAGACAGAATTTTT